CAAAACAAAATCTCCAGCTTGAGGCAAAAGCTGCCATGTTTTAGTATGCGCGCTAATAGACCTCTTTATGTTTTGTTTTTCCAATGCAGGTCAAGTAATAATACTCTAGATAACTTTTTTTAAATTTTGTCTTATGCACGCGTGCATATGTAGGCATAAATTATGAAAAGACCAAGGGTGAAGTTCCCTTGGGACCTCTATTGGGTAAACAAAACAAACAAGCTAAAGAGGTCTATTACGCATGAAATTATACACAGTAACGTTGCGCAGCGCAATACCAAGGAGGGCGACAAGAGGAACCTTCAATCCTAAATCTCTGGGTTGCTATAACACATGTACGGCACGTGTGTAGTCAGCTTCTTCGTTTGGACTTCCACTAAGAATGAATGGAATGCACAGAACGCAATCCGATCAAGCACGTTTAATAATAATAATTATAATGTTTATTTCTTATATTGCGCAGTCTAGCATGCGATAAAGATATGATCGAATGCGCATAACAACACTAAAATCTTCAAGTAATAAATGGCTAATCAAATAATGATAATAATAATAATAATTTACAATTTTCGGAAAACAATAAAAGTAAAATATGAGTTAATAAAAGAACTAATAAAGAGCTAAGTTTGGGGTTGGGATCTACANGAAGGGTAGGGATCTTACTACCTGAAATACATGGGTAGGGAAATCTGACATTTCGGTCTGTACAAAGATCCAAAAGGGCTAACAGATGCATTTTATAACTGTGAAAAAAAAAACAAAAAAACAAAACAAAATCTCCAGCTTGAGGCAAAAGCTGCCATGTTTTAGTATGCGCGCTAATAGACCTCTTTATGTTTTGTTTTTCCAATGCAGGTCAAGTAATAATACTCTAGATAACTTTTTTTAAATTTTGTCTTATGCACGCGTGCATATGTAGGCATAAATTATGAAAAGACCAAGGGTGAAGTTCCCTTGGGACCTCTATTGGGTAAACAAAACAAACAAGCTAAAGAGGTCTATTACGCATGAAATTATACACAGTAACGTTGCGCAGCGCAATACCAAGGAGGGCGACAAGAGGAACCTTCAATCCTAAATCTCTGGGTTGCTATAACACATGTACGGCACGTGTGTAGTCAGCTTCTTCGTTTGGACTTCCACTAAGAATGAATGGAATGCACAGAACGCAATCCGATCAAGCACGTTTAATAATAATAATTATAATGTTTATTTCTTATATTGCGCAGTCTAGCATGCGATAAAGATATGATCGAATGCGCATAACAACACTAAAATCTTCAAGTAATAAATGGCTAATCAAATAATGATAATAATAATAATAATTTACAATTTTCGGAAAACAATAAAAGTAAAATATGAGTTAATAAAAGAACTAATAAAGAGCTAAGTTTGGGGTTGGGATCTACAGCGTTTTGACTTGGACCGTTATCACCAACACTTATATTATTGGTTATATTATTACTAGTTAATAGCTTATTTTTTTAATATTAAGTTACCTTTCTTGGGGGAATAGTTTCTGAATAACACCGAACAATGAACCTCCAGTCACACTTGCCATCAAACCCATAAAAGCAAACACGACGCCAGACGTGCCCTGCAAATTCAAAATTTCTCAAGTAGTCATGTGAAGGCCTAAAAAGAATTTTTTAAAATGAAATTCAGACATCCAAAAATTTGCTGATAAAGCGAAGGACAGGCGCAGAAAATTTTCTTGGAACTCACAACTTTAGAACATATATCTGACGTTTTTCAAATCGATTTTGGTTCGAGTAAGCGCGAGGTTCGAGTCATCGGGAGTCCAATGTATTAATTGCACGTTACTTTATAATACTATTTATTACGCCGTTTGAATGGTCGACTCTTAGGTACTAAGCCCCGGTTGTTCAAACGCACGATTTATTAACGCCATCCACTGGATAAATCGCTATCAAGCAGATAAGTATTAGGGAAACTAATTGCGCTATCCACTAGATAGAGATTTATTCGGTGGAATTAAGCGTTATCCACCTTTTGAAAAACTTGAGCCTGGCCAAAAAATAAACCACCATTCCGTACATACATGTATTGGGAAAACCAGTTGGACTTAAAGCAGGGGATAGAGATTTATTCTGTGGAAATTAGCACTATCCGCGTTTCTTAAAACAACTAAGGTCTGATGGAAGCATTACTAAGTAGGCTTTATTTGAACTTGTAACTTTGGACGTCATAATGTTGAGGGACGTGATAAGCTCACCTTGTTGTCCCCAATAAGTTCTGCTGCAAAGCTAAGGGCAGTAACAAACATTATGGAAAACCCAGATCCTAGCAAAACAACTGCGGGATATGTCATCACTCTGTTGGACTGGGTTATGAAATAAAACCATACACCAGCTCCAATCACGAATAAGGCAGATAGAGTAAGCAAATTCTGAGGAGAAAGAAAATCAATCAATAGCAAGTTAAACTACCCCCTCCTTATTTAGGGGACTGTCGTTATGACAACAAATAAAAACTCTACACAACAGAGATATACATCTCCGTTTTATAGGTTAAAGCCACAGATCATAGGCCACCATTTTCTCCATTTGTTGTCTCCGCCTCGCTTGAGCGTTCTTTTTTATGAAAGCGAGTCTTCTTGACGTCAACGAGATCAACAGATTGTTCCGCATGGTCCGCATATAATTACTAAAAATAACTCTTTCGAAATTAAGGTATCCCCGCCAAGGTCTCTGCTAGACTTCC